CCAGTCCCACCAAAGGCTGCATGCAAGAATTGGCCTATATATGTCATCCAAATTGATGTATTAATAAAAAATTATATATTCATGAATCAAGGATTCAGGCATGGAATCAACTTGGCTATACACAGCTTTGTCTCTATTTCTTGTAGTTCTAGTGTTTTAAGTTTTGGTCATCACGGAAATACCAACTTCCACCAAACCCTGTGCTGGCCCTTCCTTTCATAGGCCATTTGCACCTCTTGAAACAACCTTTGCACCGAACCTTATACCATCTCTATAAAAAATTAGGCCCAATCTTTTCCCTTCGCTTCGGTACCCGTCTTGTGGTGGTGGTTTCATCCCCAACGGTGGCTGAAGAATGCTTCACCAAGAATGATATTGAGTTGGCCAACCTCCCTCGTTTTCTCAAAGGCAAATTCATTGGCTACAACTTCACAACACTTGTTGGTTCCCCATATGGTGAGCACTGGCACAACCTTCGGCGCTTCACTACAGCTGAAATATTTTCTTCCAGTCTCCTCAACATGTTCCTGTCAGTTAAACTTTGCAGAGGAATGTATTGATCGGCTTGATTGTCGCTACAATGAAGGTGGAGTGAAATTTATATAGGCAAAGAATATTCTAGATCTTTAATCTTAGCTGTACAAGTGTGAAAAATGGATCAATGGTGATCCATGAATTAAGGAAGAGCACAGGGTGGTCCATCAACAAGAAGGAGAGAGAGCTGATTGAATTCTGGTGCAACTGATTCTGTGAAACCGTGAGTGTGCCATCTTTGCATTTAGTTGATGCATTCAGCTATAAGTTCTAACATCCTCCCTCAAGTTGGAGGGGGTATTGACACTCCTAGCTTATCCTTCAGATAAGCAAATCTTGAGTGTGAGACACCTTTAGTCATCAAGCCGGCAATTTGATCTGCAGTGGGAACGTATTTCACTTCCAGTTCTCTTGCAAGAATTTTATCCCTTATGAAGTGGACATCTAATTTTATGTGCTTTGTTCTAGCATGGAATACAGGATTGGCTTCCAAGGCTCCAGCATTGAGGTTGTCGCACCAAATAATTGGATTTGAGGTTGATTGTAATTTGAGCTCTTTAAACAGGGACTGTATCCATGCTATTTCAGATGCAGCAGAGGCAAGAGCTCTGTATTCTACTTTCGTACTTGATCTTGCGACAACGTGTTGCTTCTTAGACGACCAAGATACTAGGCTATCTCCTAGGTAAATACAATAGGCTGCCACTGATCTTCTATCATCAGGGCAAGATGCCCAGTCTACATCCGAGTAACCAGTTATCATTAAATTATCGTTTCTTTTGATCCATAGCCCTTGATTGATTGTGCCTTTTAGGTATCTA